TATAATACATCACCCATGGAGTGCTAACTGATATAATACATCACCCATGGAGTGCTAACTGATATAATACATCACCCATGGAGTGCTAACTGATATAATACATCACCCATGGAGTGATAACTGATATAATAACATGATATAATACATCACCCATGGAGTGATAACTGATATAATACATCACCCATGGAGTGATAACTGATATAATACATCACCCATGGAGTGATAACTGATATAATACATCACCCATGGAGTGCTAACTGATATAATACATCACCCATGGAGTGATAACTGATATAATACATCACCCATGGAGTGGTAACTGATATAATACATCACCCATGGAGTGATAACTGATATAATACATCACCCATGGAGTGATAACTGATATAATACATCACCCATGGAGTGATAACTGATATAATACATCACCCATGGAGTGATAACTGATATAATACATCACCCATGGAGTGATAACTGATATAATACATCACCCATGGAGTGATACTGATATATCATCCCATGGAGTGATAACTGATATAATACATCACCCATGGAGTGATAACTGATATAATACATCACCCATGGAGTGATAACTGATATAATACATCACCCATGGAGTGATAACTGATATAATACATCACCCATGGAGTGATAACTGATATAATACATCACCCATGGAGTGATAACTGATATAATACATCACCCATGGAGTGATAACTGATATAATACATCACCCATGGAGTGATAACTGATATAATACATCACCCATGGAGTGATAACTGATATAATACATCACCCATGGAGTGATAACTGATAACTATAATACATCACCCATGGAGTGATAACTGATATAATACATCACCCATGGAGTGATAACTGATATAATACATCACCCATGGAGTGCTAACTGATATAATACATCACCCATGGAGTGATAACTGATATAATACATCACCCATGGAGTGATAACTGATATAATACATCACCCATGGAGTGATAACTGATATAATACATCACCCATGGAGTGATAACTGATATAATACATCACCCATGGAGTGATACTGATATATGGAGTATAATACATCACCCATGGAGTGCTAACTGATATAATACATCACCCATGGAGTGCTAACTGATATAATACATCACCCATGGAGTGCTAACTGATATAATACATCACCCATGGAGTGCTAACTGATATAATACATCACCCATGGAGTGCTAACTGATATAATACATCACCCATGGAGTGCTAACTGATATAATACATCACCCATGGAGTGCTAACTGATATAATACATCACCCATGGAGTGCTAACTGATATAATACATCACCCATGGAGTGCTAACTGATATAATACATCACCCATGGAGTGCTAACTGATATAATACATTACCCATGGAGTGATAACTGATATGATACATCACCCATGGAGTTCTAACTGATATAATACATCACCCAAGGAGTGCTAACTGATATAATACACCACCCATGGAGTGATAACTGATATAATACATCACCCATGGAGTGCTAACTGATATGATACATCACCCATGGAGTGCTAACTGATATAATACATTTCCCATGGAGTGATAACTGATATAATACCTCACCCATGGAGTGATAACTGATATAATACATCAGCCATGGAGTGATAACTGATATAATACATCACCTATGGAGTGCTAACTGATATAATACATCACCCATGGAGTGCTAACTGATATAATACATCACCCATGGAGTGATAACTGATATAATACATCACCCATGGAGTGATAACTGATATAATACATCACCCATGGAGTGCTAACTGATATAATACATCACCCATGGAGTGATAACTGTGATAACTGATATATAACTGATATAATACATCACCCATGGAGTGCTAACTGATATAATACATCACCCATGGAGTGATAACTGATATAATACATCACCCATGGAGTGCTAACTGATATAATACATCACCCATGGAGTGCTAACTGATATAATACCTCACCCATGGAGTGATAACTGATATAATACATCACCCATGGAGTGCTAACTGATATAATACATCACCCATGGAGTGATAACTGATATAATACATCACCCATGGAGTGCTAACTGATATAATACATCACCCATGGAGTGATAACTGATATAATACATCACCCATGGAGTGATAACTGATATAATACATCACCCATGGAGTGATAACTGATATAATACATCACCCATGGAGTGATAACTGATATAATACATCACCCATGGAGTGATAACTGATATAATACATCACCCATGGAGTGATAACTGATATAATACATCACCCATGGAGTGATAACTGATATAATACATCACCCATGGAGTGATAACTGATATAATACATCACCCCCACATGGAGTGATAACTGATATAATACATCACCCATGGAGTGATAACTGATATAATACATCACCCATGGAGTGCTAACTGATATAATACATCACCCATGGAGTGATAACTGATATGATACATCACCCATGGAGTGCTAACTGATATAATACATCAGCCATGGAGTGATAACTGATATAATACATTACCCATGGAGTGCTAACTGATTAAATACATCACCCATGGAGTGATAACTGATATAATACATCACCCATGGAGTGCTAACTGATTTAATACATCACACATGGAGTGCTAACTGATATAATACATTACCCATGGAGTGATAACTGATATAATACATCACCCATGGAGTGCTAACTGATATAATACATCACCCATGGAGTGATAACTGATATAATACATCACCCATGGAGTGATAACTGATATAATACATCACCCATGGAGTGCTAACTGATATAATACATCACCCATGGAGTGCTAACTGATTTAATACATCATCCATGGAGTGCTAACTAATTTAATACATCATCCATGGAGTGATAACTGATATAATACATCACCCATGGAGTGATAACTGATACAATACATCACCCATGGAGTGCTAACTGATATAATACATCACCCATGGAGTGCTAACTGATATAATACATCACCCATGGAGTGATAACTGATATAATACATCACCCATGGAGTGCTAACTAATATAAACATATAATGCTAGCACTAAATACCCACTACATATCATGGCACCCCCCAAAAAATATTCTTTATCTATCTTTCACTTACTGTATGTAATATTATACAAAAATCTACAAAAACATACAGTACACTAAAATTAGCCACTTAATAAAACAGTTTACACCTGAAATAATTATTTTTAAAAGCCAGAGGACTGGAAACGGAGAAAGATGTGAGTTACAAAGGCAAAAGATGGACAGATGACAAATGGTTCTTACCCTCAAACGAGACAGTCTATCCTGTAGAGTTTTCCTATCGCCCGAGTAATCTGCTAATAGCTGAAGACAGTGTTTGGTGTTGGTAAGCCAATCATGATATTCAAGAAATGACTTGCGGTACTCTTCATGGCTCCCAACCTGTTCCTCAGCATTGTCTATACTTTCCTAGTGCAGAGATTGAAAAGTCATATTGTGTCAGTGCCTTGTATTTAAAACATGGCAACATTCATAGTTAAATGTCAACTACTTAGTATTCCAAGGAGGAACAGGTGACAAATATGGAATAGTGCGGCATGTTTAGAAAACATAATACAAGTTCATGCCAAATAACCTGGCAAGATATTACATCTGCTATGTGGAGAAGGACTTTTCAGTTATGCCTATAATTAGTTGTCCCAGTATATTGCCTATCCAGCAAATACCTCTTTCTCACCTTCTGATCCACTTGCATATGTTAATGGATCCCACATGAGACATAAATAATAATAACAGTCTAGCAAGCATGTTGTTAAAAGTGAAACAGGGGGGTGGGGGTGTTGGGGTGGTTTGGCTACCCAATTTTGTTAGAAAACCTAACTATAAAATTCATCTAAACATAAATTTAAGAAGCATTAATTAAAATCTGATTCAAATGGCTTTATTTTAAAAGCAGGAGGTGTGGCAGACTTAAACACAGCATTCATTATGAATGAATTATGCACCATGGGTTGGTCAAGCAAGCATCCTATTATTTAGTTAGACAGCAAATGCAATCTGCAACAAAAGATTGTGGCTGCTCACTGAACATCTGTGCTAACACTTCCTGCCCAATCTTTGCAACATGTGGACAAGTGCTGTCACACAAAAAAAATCATGGAGAAAGCATACCAGGATGTTTATTCTTGATGGCTTCATGGGGCCTGTCTAATGTTTCTAAGGAGTGGGTCCAGCTGACCAGCTTCTTCAACTCTTTCGGACCATGCAACTCATGTTCTTTGGGTGGTCTCAGTCCACATTTCTGACTTTCCTACATTCTAGCTTGTTGTTACATCAACTCATTTTACTTGAATTGTTAGTTCATTTCCTTCTGCCTATGGTGTTCTTGTTTTAACTTCTTTGGACTCTGTCACTGGCCACTCAAACTTCCCAGGTTAAAAGGAGTTAAAATAACCACACTGTGGTACTAAAATAGTTAGTCTGTCAACAATAGCAGTTCATGGTTTCAAAAAGTAAAAACATGTGGGCAGTATGACCTTACCAGTAGAAACCTGTAACTTGAATTGTTAGGCTTTTGGTGATCCAACATGCTTCTACTGTATGATCTCTCTGTTGGTGATACCATGATCATCACCTGCCACCATGTGCAACAGAAATGCATAACTCTCCATTCTGTAATGCCGCAGGTGGTTCAAACACCTCCCTTTAGTGGTCAGTCTACACCCATGCTACCCACTGTGAACACACCTTCTAATATTGCAGTTCCTTACAAACTTCCTTTTGAACTGTCCCAATTGACTCACTGAATCCTTTGCAAGCGAATGTGTGCTTTAAGAATGGTTCACCTGTATTTCAACATATTTCACAGCTTGCCTGCTTATAGCACTTTAACACTCATTTTCTCATGCTAACGAATTCATTTCATTAACACTCATGGAAACAATACAACCAAAAGCAGGCATCCTTACCTTGCTTTTTTCTACAAGGATGGCATAGTGAGAAATCAGTTCTGCAGTTCTTGACTTGGCTAAACTGTCTTGGACTTGATTTGCCTTCTCTTCAAGTTTGTCCAGCTGAGCTTTGTGTGCCTGAATATTTGCCTGTATGGTCTGATGAGGTATAATGTTTAATTAAGCCACAGTACATCTCTGAATGCATAAACAGACAAGACCACCAAAAAGAATGTATATGACTTTCTCATTTTCAGGATTGTAACTAAATTAATCTGTATAATTCACCTTCTTCTTTGAACGATTGGTGTCTCTGATGATTGCATTTTTAAACAGTTATTTTTAACTTTACAAAACAAATAATCACTCACTTTTCACTAGCAAGAAAACTGTAAAATGTATAAATGATGAGAAGCAGATATAATGCTGAGCCTGTGAAACATTATTTGATGTCAAATTTCTAAACACACTGACTGCCCATGTCACATGTGATGTGAAGAGGGGGCATTTACTTCTTTCTGCCCACATTGCACCCTTTGCAATGGTAGCTTTGGACGCTCACCGTCTTCTTAAAATTGTGATTTCTGCAATGAATTTAGTTGCAGCCAAAACATTGAAAGATTGTTAATTTCTCTATTTTAATTAGGGGAAACTATTTTGTAGCACTTGTACTAGATATCTGATGAATTTTCAGTGTTAACTTCCACGTCGGTGAGATATCGACAAAATTTTTATCATGGTGTCAAATTCTTGGAAAGATCGTGGTGGTCAAATTTGTCATAATGTTTCTGATGATGCCTGTGATTTTCTTGATTTTCCTTTGAAAAGTCAGTTTGAAGACAATACTGAACAGATTGATGGCTGTGACTCTGATAAATTTAACGAAGTGCCATTCAAAACATTGTTGGCTGTGAAACGACGGCATGATGCTTCTAACAAAGACTTGACCGACAGAGTTACACTGTCCACTACAAGCACTAGTGCGGCAGTTTCTGATACTGATCGTTCTTGTGAGAGTATTCAGTCAGAGCCTGCAGATTATGAAGATTGTGTGGCTGAGCCTGCACAGACAAAGATAACATTGCCACTTTTTATGCAGAATCATCATCATCTGATGAGTCTGGAGAATGTTTGCCACACCCCCTAATGGTTGATGACTCACACTGTCATTTGGTAGGCTTTCCTGAAGTACCTCCATTTACTGAAACCAGGTGTGTTTTTTTTTTCTACCAGAAGGAACAAATAATATAAAAAAGCCAATGGAAATTTATAATATTATCTTCAGCAAAGAAATTCTTGCTGTATTTGCTAAAGAAACAAACCGTTATGCTGAGGGAAAGAATGCTGTGAAACCAGACAGCTGTTTTGCCAAGAACTGGAAACACACAACCCCAAATGAAGTGAGTGGGTTTCTTGTACTGTTGCTACACATGAGTGTTGTGAAAAAGTTGTTTATTTCAGACTACTGGAGCATACATCCATTTATCCACTGACCATTTGGTGCAACATCATGTCACAGAGGCGTTTTCAACTCCTCCTGTCTGTGTTTGATATTGTAAATAATGAATTTCAGCTGCCTGTAACAGATCCTTTGATCTGATTTGATTTGATTCAAGAACCGACATCACAGCACTCCGGGCATTCCCATAAGCGCTTTGTCCCCATCTTCAGCAGCCAGCGAAGAGTTCCGTTACTAATGGTGCCAGTAGCATTCTGATTAAACGTCTGTCTTGCCTTTTCTCTCTCTGCTGCATCAATCTCATCAGACTGTGGTGATCCATCTGCTCCTCCGAACTGTACACACTCTCCTACGAGGCACTAACCATGTCTGCCTTATCATGTATCAGTATTCCATCAAGTTGTGCAGAGCCAGCCAGTCTGTCCACCTGTTCATTTCCCAACACACCTGCGTACACCGGTGAAAAAATCCAGACAATACTTCTCACCTGTGTCCTCCGCAGCGAAGCATGCCACTCTGCACGAAGCCTACCTGTTCTGATCTTCCTCAGCATGCTTTCTGAATCAGTTACAATCACGATGTGTGTGTGTGTCGTGTTCTCTAGCCAGCGGAAAGCTGCAGTGACCGCCTCCACCTCCATTCCTAAGGTGGATGTTGTGGTATCATATGCTAGGCTCTCCTGCACCAAACATCGACCATTAACTTTTGCTAAGAAGCCTCAAGCACTTCTTTTGCCTCTTGACACTGAACCGTCTGTGTAAATGATCAAATCATCTGAGTGAGCATTATCTTGAATTAGTTGCTGAATTTCCACCTCTGTGGCATCTGCTGGCCAGTCTCTGCATTCTCAGCTCAATGTCTGACTGTTCAGGTGGCACTTTGACCCACTCCTCTCCTCACCTAATGTTCTCAAGGATGCAAACCTGTCTGTGTTTTCTGCCTGAGCCATCCATGACCTCCCTCTTATCAGCCTCTGACCCTTAACTGCACCCAGAGCTTCATGCAGAGGGTGGTCTGTGTCTGCAGCTACCCTGAGATATTTCGCCTACAGCACCTTGTGCCTACCTGCAACCGTCGGCAAACCAAGGATGTATCGCATACACACCACTGGAGTGTCTCTGGTGCAACCCAGAATGACCCGCATAGCCGAGTTCTGTATGCGCTCTAGTTTGGCCATCTGACTCTTTGAGACAGTAAGCAGTCCCAGGCCATAATCAACCACTGACAGGATCAGGTGCTGATATAGTGTGAAAAGCATTCTCTGCTCTATGTCAATTGCAGCCATAGTCTTAAGTGCACCAAGTCCTTTTTGGCATCTTGTCACAACACTCTCCACATGGTCCTTAAATTACAGGCTCCTGTCAAATGTAATTCCCAGATACTTCAGTTTGCTCTCTCTGTTGACGTTTCTACCATCTATCGTGAGACTTGGGACATTAGTTTTAACGATTCTGTTGTCCAGAGAACACCACAAAACAAACGCCTTTTCCGGGTGGACGACAGCCCTCATTTCTGTACACCACTCAGTTACTTTGTCTACTGTCGCTTGTAGCTCCCGGGCTGTTTTGTTCCCTCTCTCCCCCCTGCCTATTTGCAAGTAAATCATCCGCAAAAGTCAGTTTCCTTCCAACTCCTGGTGCTTCTAGGCTCTTACTCATATACACGTTAAAGAGCACAGGCGAGAAGGTGGATCCCTGTGACAGTCCTAGGGCCAAAGTGCATGGTTCTGAGGTCCATGAGCCCAGTCGGAGAGCAAACTGACATGAATAAAATAACAGATCTTTACCATGATCCATTGAGAGATCTTGAACAGTTGTGAAGCTATGACATTTTTTTTTAGTCTGTTCAATTTTGTGCAAACATACAAAATATGATAAATGTTTTTTTCAATATTTCTGAAGCTATTACATTTTTATTAGTCTGTTTTGTTGTCAGATAAAAGATTTTTCGGTTGCCTTTTTTATACCAATCTACAGCCACATGATAATGATGATGTCAGACAAAGTAAACAACATTTTTTTAATAGCAATTTGTTCTCCATTCAATTTTGGTGCAAAAATGCAAAATTTGATAAATGTTTGATGAATATTTATAAAGATAAGAAATTTGTGTAAGTCTATATTGTTGTCAGATAAAAGATTTATCTGTTACCTTTTTTTTTGTACCAATCTACAGCCACATGATGATGATAATGATGCAAAACAAAATAAACAACTGTTTTCTTCTATAAATTTGTCCTCCATTCAATTAGGTGCAAGAATACAAAATACTGTGAATTATTTCCGTCTGGGAATGTGCAGGGGTTAATGGGCTTGATAGTCAGTGGCTTAATACAATTGTGTTCACAATTATTCTACAAGTTTATGATGTTTCCATGTTTTGCATCTGCACTGTGACAATAAATACCTTATATTTCTCAAGGTTTGACTTTTTCTCTGGTAGATCAGACTTGTAGTTAGGACTTGTTCCAAGTTTGTGCTCTACATTCATCATCCAGTCTGATAAGTGCTGGTATGAATGTTCAAAGTCATCCCAGTGAACAAGTGAACCTTCTAAGCTGCGCTTGACCTGGTAGCAAACATAACATTAATTGACATATACAGGCAGCAATGAAGAAAACAGAGCAGCCCTAATTCTATACCCCCCAATAAAAAAAGTTGTGTTAAAAGAGGAAGTCAATTTTAAAAAAAGTCACAAATGGTTGTTTCGTAACCTTGAATTTGTCACACACACACAAAAGATGAAGAAAGACGCTTTGATTCAGGCTGGTAGTGATGCACCTATGAATCGTCCCAGTAATAATCCTGTTCAGCATGATTTCTCCTTCATCTGCATATCAACAGAGATGCTGCAAGGACATGCCTAAGTCGTTCATTTTGTGTTCGTCCGTCAATTGTCTGGGTATCCACCTTAAATTTTCAATCAATCATGAATTATGTGTGCACTCTATTGCAGCTGCTCCAGAGTCAACTGTTACTTATCTGTCACCTCTAATCATTTCCTCCACTTGTTGCACAGATGTGTCTGTTCCAGTCTCAACAGGATGACCAGATCAGACTTCATGAACAATTTTAGAGTGTCCTTGAGGGAAATGTTTTACCCAGCTATGCACCGCTTCACAGGATATACATTTGTCAGCATAAACACAACAAGAAGCATCATTTCCTTATGAATGTTTTTTGCGGGCAGCCCTTTACCCCCCCCCCCCCCCCTAAAAAAAACGCATAACAGCACCTTGTTCTTTCAGGACATACTCCATAAGTACAGTCACCATTTTGTTTCGATGTTGCAAATGAGCATGCAACACCTAGCACCACCTAACAAACAGAGACATAAAGTTCAATGTTTCTGTCATCTAATGACACCTTTGAAACCACAACTACATTTTCCTGCCATCCTTGACTTGCCCTCATAATATGCGTTTACATTTCACTTTTTGCCTCCACTCACACACAAAATATTTATTTGGTCACACTCAAAATGACGTATTTAAAAACAAATATCTGAAAATTTATGACTGCTGTGAAGTAGATGTTTTCTCACTTTTTTTATGGTGTCTGATAATTTTGACATCTGCCATTTTGAGGCATAATATTTCATAGGATATGTTTACTAGAGTTACTGCAATTATAACAGGTCATATGGTCAGTTCCAGATAGGGAAGACTATTGGATATTCAAGGGAATATATGCAGTTAGTGATGTCTCAGTTGACATAACTTTTCAGCACTTCGATCCCTTTCTATTTATTTATATGTCCATTTATAATTCTCTATAAAACTGAGTTGTAACAGTACTATGATAGAAGCATCAACTTTAAGTATTTCAGTTGACAAGATATCCGTTTTATGTTATATTGTTAATCTATAAGTACACTAAATTATGAGAAGATCAACAGGGCTACTCATGAATTAGTGGTAAAATTATCTCCACACAGATGAGAATAAGAATGTATTTAGTAAAAGAGAGGTGCACCACTGCATCGCACAATATTTATCAATAGCATCCTTGCTCAAAAGATACAGTCAGAAGATCTCAGCCAGGGGGCAGCCCAAGATTACTGAGTTGTTAGCTTAAGTAATGGAAACATAACATAATACATGACCTATTAGGGTCCTGGAGGTGTATCGACGGAAGCATTAATACATAAAACCTGCCATCTTTCTCTGTCTTCCACTTGTTGAACAAGTGTATGATAACCCAGTCCTGTCAATTTTTTATGTTGTCATCCCAGATCTTCTTTACACTCCTCTTTTTTGACTTCCTCCTAAAGTTTTTTAAAGCATAGTTTTTGCAATCGAGTTATATCTTACTACGTGCTCAAATCAAGCTAGTTTGCAATGTTTTACCACTGCCAAGAGAGGCTCCTGATGTCCTGCAAATTTGTTTATTTTGTCTGCCATATTTGTTTGTATTATGTTCCAAAAAAGTAAATTGTAAAATTCGTCTATAGCCTTTATATTTGAAAGCCTGAATCCTCCTTTTCAGTTCCACAGTGAGAGCCCAACTCTAGCATCTGTAAAAGAAAATAGACAACACCAGTGGTTTGTATGTATTAACCTTTACTGCGATGCTGAGTAAAGGTCTTCTTCAACATTCCCAGACCTTGAGGTTCATTGCTGCATATATCACCCACTCCACTCATCTCTCTGGTTGGCCTTCTCTTTCCAGTTAGTGACAGCAAGTAGTTTGTAGGTCTGTCTGGACGTTATCTCTCCATCATCTTCTTGATCTGCCTTGTAGTTTTCGACCATTCAGCTACCTTATGTATACTGTTTTTACCTCTCTGTCATTTGACATTTTCTATGCCCAAGCCACTTCAGTCTATTAGATCTCATGATGCCAGTTATCAATGGTGATTTAAACAAATTTTGAATTTTGTTCTTGTTTCTCACTCTCTTTCTTCGCTGTTTGCATCTCTGATGGGTCTAAAGATTCGACATAATACTCTCTTTTTGAAAATTTGTAATGAGGCTTCATCTCTTTTATGCTCGAAGTTTCACAGCCATATAAAACGACTGGTCTTATCAATTTTTTATTTATTTTGATCTTGGTGTTGATAAAGACTTTTGACTTCAGCAAATAATGAAGGGCATATTATACTTTACTTCCAGATTTTATTCTAGACTGAATGTTTTGTTATTGGTGAACTAGTCATCTTCTTGTCATCCATTTTGTGAGCTGCTTCTTTTAAGAAAGTCAGTGTTTTTACAGTCTCTAGTTCATGTTCTCCAGCGATATCAGAGTCATCTGTAAATCAAAGTATTCTTGTAGTTTCTCCTATAGTACACTCTTGTTTCAATTTCCTTATAATTTTCTCCAAGGCCATGTTGAAAAGAAGAAGGGACAGAGCATCACCTTGCTTTAAACCAGATGTTTTTTGAAAAGGGTCTGACTTTCTGCTTTTATATAATACTATACTACAAGTGTCTTCCATACACAGTTTGGTCATGGTAGTTAACTTCTTCGGTAACTAAGATTCCTTCATAGCATTCCATAAACTGTTTCTATGTACACTATCATAGGCCTTTTTAAAATCCACAAAAACAATATGTACATCTCTTCTTTATTCTCAGTTTTGCTCTGCTATTTGATGTAAAAAAACAATATCTGATCTATTGATCTGTTCTGTCAGAAACCCACTTGGTAATCTCCCACTGTGTGTAGATAACAATGATATTCCTCTATAATTTTCAAATTTTTACTTGTCTACTTTCTTAAAAATGGGTCTTCCAAACTAGTTTTATTAATCAATATATCTTTAAATGTAATGCATGACCACCTTTTAAAAAAAGTTCAGCAGCAATTCCACCAGCACCAGTCGATTTATTGTTTTTAGGCTGTGTTATTACATACAATACTTCTTCAAAATCAGACTCTTCAATATGATGGCTGGTAAGTATTAAGTGGGGTTTCACAATTTAACACTTCAGCAAAGTATTCCTTCCATTTCTTACATATTTCTTCATTATTATTTATTGTTTTACAGTCTTCACTTCTATAAAAAGTACTTTCTGGATTCGTTTTTCTGATGGTTAGCTTCCATATCCATGATAATGTTGTTCGTGTATTCTCGTTTCAGCTGCCTAACTACTTTTGTAGCTTCTTTACATTCTGTTCTATATATTTTTTTTTTTGGGTATGTTGCTAGTGTCATCTATCAACTCTGCCTGACATATTTTTCTTACTGACTGCTTTTTCACATTTTCTATCAAACAATTTGTTCCTTCTGTTTATGATGGATACATCAAGACATTTTTCTGCAGTAGTTTGAATTATTTTCTTAATATTCATCCAAGTTTGGTTGACACCTTCCTCTGACCAATTTTGCAAAATCAAATTTTGTAAAGCAAAGGTCAGTATTTAGAATGATGAATGTTGAATTAAGAATCGACATCACAGCACTCAGGACACTCCCATAAGTGCTCAGTCCCCATCTTGAGCAGCAAGCGAAAAGTTCCAATTCTGATGGTACCAGTAACAGTCTGATTGTATAATCGTCTCATCATTCCCCTAAGTTTAGAGCGTCGGCCAGATACCTTAGTAACTCCTCGCAGCACCATTCTCCTTAGATCGTAATGATTTATCTGTGCCTTCAAACTGTTTTCTTGCTCCCAAAGGGCCCTCACAATCTCTAACCTGTCATACATCAATTCACCACCAAGTGATGCAGAGCCAGCCAGTCTATCTGCCTGCTTATTTCCCAATATACCGGCATAACCTAGAGAAAATATCCAAGGGATGGTACTACTTGGGACCACTGATGCTTGCCACTCTGCACAAAGCATGCGTGTTTTCACCTTTCTTAACATGCTCTGTCAGTTAGTTACAATCACAGCATGTGTGTACAGCTTATTCGCAAGATAGCGGAAGGCAGCAAAATGCCTTCACCTCCATTCTCAAACTAGATGTTGTGATATCATATGCAAGGCTTTGCTGCACTTGGCAGCGTCCATTCGCCTTTGCAATCAGTATTTCCAAATAAGTAATGAATGCTCATATGTGAAGAATTAAAATAATAACCCGATGGAACCAAAGAAGTTTAAGAAATTAATGTCACAGAGTTGGTTAACGTTACAGCTTTTGGGGGTCACAGCAAATTCAGAAAAGTATGTAACATTAACTGAAATCAACAAGCATGTGATAAGTTGCTTGGCACTGAAAGATTTGCAGTTTGTGCTTAAGGAATTAGAGGAGAGGAAGATAATATAAGATGTAGTTGACAAGTTTAAGAAGAGATGAACTGGTACAAGCCTGTACACTGCACCATCAAAATGAGGACAAAGGGTGTTAGAGACTCTTACAGTTGACCTTCTGTAGCAGATGGCACTTGATAATAATAATAATAATAATGTTCTCAATATGTTTTCTTCATTCATTTACGGAGAATTGACAGACACTTGATAAATTAACTGTTCCTCACAAAAATGAATAGAAACAAACAGAAAACATTTACAACTGATAAAAACAATGACCTGAGATACTTGAGACAGGATGCTCTCATAAACAGTTTTGGCTACATCTGTCTCATTTCTGATAATGATAGAACCTTTCTGATTTGTACTGGGCAATGTCTTTTCACAGCTTTCCAGAACTGTGTGCAAAAGTGTGTGACCTTCATCAAGAGTTCCTTGAATGTCCTGAAACATTCAAAAATACTAAATGACAGCCTGAATTTGCACAGTGAATCTTGACTACAGTCATAATCTGAAGCAAAACCATACAATGAAACTTCACATTTTATACATCTTCAAAGCATTTTCTCCAAAGTAGTCCCTACCATAATAGGGTGAATGTCAAAAGCCAAAACCTGCTGGACTCGTGAGAAACTGAGTTCCTCAGATTGGCATCAGAGGAGGATTTAGCTCACAACCAAACTGTAGCAGCTGCTTGACTACTTCTTAAATATGCTCAAGAAACCTGGACAGAGTAAAACTAATGTGCACAAATTGTAATTAAACCTAATGAGGAAGTATATGAAGTGTTCCAGCATAAAATGGCAAAATAAAGTGACAGATTAGAGTTCAGTGAAGGAGTGACATGGCAAGCATACAAACTACTCTAAACAAACTACAGCTGAAGAAGAATGGCTATGTAGCCTGTGGCTAACACATAAAAACAATCTATCAAGGCAAACATCATTCACACAAGTGATGACATGTAAATGAATTGACACTCTAAAAGCCTTAATAACAAATGCTGTGTAACAGACTGAATAGTCCTTTCTTAATGTGGTCAATGATCCACTAAAATTTTAAAACCATAATAGAGTTTGTCACATTGTGACCATAAGAAAGAAACTGTACCTCAACTTTTCTGAGCCTGTCAGTCAGAGCTTCTTTAGAACCCTTATCATTACTGATGACTTGAAGCCTCTGTTGTGTCTCTCTCAGCCATTTGTTGAATAAGTTATGGTTCTGTGTGTACAGCTTGTGATTGTTATAATACACTTCCAGGTTACTTGTGATATCCTGAGCAAGACAAACAAATAAACAATGAGCAAACCATAGAAAAAACATGGCATGGACAATGATTTCAAACTGGTTTCTCTCTACTATAGGAAGCTCACAGTAAGTCTTGGCCCTTACTATGTAGGAAATGTCACAGACAACTGAATTTGTAAAGTGCTTATCTATCTTCAATATAGTTCCCATATAAATTGACAGTCGAACCATTTCTGCTTAGCCTAGAAAGGACTTTAGAAACATTTATGCACCTAGCGTTGGTTTCGACAGTGGTATCAAAGAAGCCGACCATCCAGAAAGCAAGGGCAAACTACTGAGCATAAATTTGCCTAGAAAAACCACACAGAATGTTGGGGTTGGTTCTGCAATGTCCTGTAAAAAGGATACACAACTAACCTATACTTTAAAAAAATTCACTATACACCCCTTACCCCCACCCTTCCAACCCCTTAACAAGTGGTTATATTGCTGTAAAATAAGACAATAATAAATAACACACAGTTAAATGTGTCATATAATAACAATAAAATAATTTCCAAAATTGCGTAACTGTAATTATCAAATCAGCAAGCATCATAAAAACAACTGCCATAATGAAAATATTGCTTCTTACTTTTCCAAGAGAAATGATTCCATTGTATCTAGTGGTCAGCTGTGTGACAACATGTGAGGTATTGACATCTGCATTAATTTCTAATAGAGCATGTGCTTTCTCACGAACTCTGTCCAACAAAGACTGATGGGATACAGCATCTTCGCTGTGAAGCTAAAAAGACAGAATATATGTAATGTGTGTATAGGCCACAGATATAATACAGCTGACATGTTAGCTCTGATTTTATGGCAGAGATTAACTTTTAAAATGAACATTACATAAAATTACAGAGTAGAAGTCCCAACTACCCTAGTTAGATTGTATGCTTACTATATAAAGTGCCAAGTACACAATGATGGAGAAGAAAATATCATGAGCAAAACATAATAACAAAGCAGAATATAATCCACCCAAAAAGGTCACGTCTTTATAAGCTGAGCTGACTAGCTAGCTCATTCTACAGGAATATTAATAAGAGAAGATAATGATGACCATCATTTTCTTCTTTAGAATGAAACAGACTGTAGGTTACTGCGATATTCCATGCACTGATAATAGGTGTTCAATAACTAGTATTAATAAGGGGGGAAAAATGAATTATTATTGAAAGTTATTCTATAAATACAACTAATTAATGGCTGGTATCACATGATACACATTTCACTAAACAGATTAACTCTTCGAGTCCCAGGGGGGTTAGCATCAGAGGCCAACGGGGTGGTAATGCAATTTTTTTATTTTCACAATTGTAAGACATTAAAACAGACCATACTAATTCAATTGCTGCGCAACATACACATATTATACATCAAAGTGACCAAGGATAGTTGAGAAATAATTTTAGCATAGAGCTATCAAACCACATGAACCTCATTCAAAAATTGCTTCATTCATAGTATACAGAGGTCAATGTTTAGCATTACTATTAGTTAGTCAGATTTCTAAATTAATGGCAATGGGCCGCCCATTGGTTGCTCCCTTACTGGGCCAGTGAAAGCCATATACTGTGCTAATTACTGTCCTCTGAAAAGTGAAACAGGCAGAAGCCATGACAAGACCAGCAATATGCGCATGCATTAAATGCATAAGACTCAGGCCAGAGTCAACACTAACTGCCCACCACTAACTAGAATTGCTGGTCATCATCAATCAAAGCAGTCTGGTGGTAGCTAGCTACCCAGTATTTTCCTAATATGCAGTTCATAACACAAATAGTCACAGAAACAGATGAAAAAGCATCCCACAGCTCGCAATATCCTACTAAGCACTAAATTCAGCTGGGTGACAGAACCATGTACTACAAAATAAATATGAGGAAAATGTGTCAGCAATCCATAGCTAGATGCACACAACACTCCAAGGCTTTAATGGACGGCTTATTTATTCGCTATACAGTACTACAGGCAAATGTTTAAAAAAAAGTTTCTAATGTTTAAAAAAAAAGTTTCTAATTTATTTGTTTTATATATATTCCCCACCCCCTCATCCCTTTTACCTATACCTTCTTTCATGTTTTGTTTCACATTCTTCCTTACTGTCCCCAGTTTTATCGACAGCTCTTCATATATAGTTTCTCAAATAATAATTTTGCTATTCCAAATGAGAACAGTAAAGATAAAGTTGATGAAGGTCATGAACATTTACTTGATATTCCTCCCAGCTTTGTTTTTTCTCCTCTAATGTGGCCTGATATTTTAATTCAGCTCGCAGGAACACTTCAGTCTCTCGCAGCCAGTTACCAAAGTGCTGATAACTCTCATCAAATTCCTCCCATCTGGTCAGGCAAAGTTCCAAATCGTACAGTGTCTGGAATAACACAATAAAACATTGGTCACAGATGTATCCAAGTGCAGCTCACATTGAATTCACTAAGGTGGATAAATGGGGATTTATAGTGATCGAATGGAGCATCAGCAGAGCTAGAATGCAGCAACATTGGTGAAAGCCATAGTGACAGAATAAAGCATAACTGATGCAAGAAAGGAGGACAATCAGTGTTAGAATGGAGCATCATCAGAGTCAGAATGCAGCAACACTGTTGAAAGCTATAGTAACAGAATAAAGCATAACTGATGCAAGAAAGGAGGACAATCAGAGATAGAATGGAGCATCATCAGAGTCAGAATGCAGCAACTTCAGTAACAGAATGCAGCAGCATTGGTGAAAGAAGGAAGCACCATTAATGACACAACTGACAAGACGCATAAAAATAAGCTGAACAATATACTTTGCCATCCATGGACTCTTTCTTTGTGGTACAATTTTATTTTTTTTTTTTAAATTCAGTAAGTATTTGTTGTTGATTTTCTAGTGATATTAAAAGCAAGTTACTGTTTTGATATTTTACAGTCATTTTGAACATTTTAAATCCTGTACATGTGCATGGTGTTTAAATCTTCAAGGTCATTTCTCTGTGTATATCAGTGATACTTGTGTACACACCAGCTTTTGTGGCATGAGAGAGACGTTTGTTTCCCTCATTTGTGTTAGCAAGCAATGCCTAGAGGGATGGTAAAGAAGTGCCTATTGTTTCACTGGTAACTTGGAACAATAAAACATACTATAATGGGGATAACTGTATGATGCATATATAACACATGTGATAGCTGCTTACAAGACATAAGGGGACACCCTGGGTGTAGTGAAATGATGGTAAATGTTGATGGATGGATGGATGGATGGATGGCTGGCTGGCTGGCGAAGGGAGGGAGCGGAGGAAGGGAGCGAGCGGAGGAAGCGAGCAGAGGGAGGGAGGAAGCGTGCATATATATATATATATATATATATATATATATATATATATATATATATATATATATATATATATATATATATATATATATATATATATATATATATATATATATATATATGTGTGTGTGTGTGTGTGTGTGTGTGTGTGTGCGTGTGTGTGTGTGTTGAATGTTGAATTAGTAGTCGACATCACAGCACTCAGAATACTCCCATAAGTGCTCTGTACCCATATTCAGCAGCAAGCAAAGAATTCCAATTCCCATAGTCCCAGTAACAGTCTGACTGTATATCCATCTCACCCTTCCCTTGAGTGTTGAGCTTCGGCCAGATCCCATGGTAACTTCTCACAGCGCCATTCTCCTCAGACTTAAATGATCTATTTGTGTCTCCGCACTGTTCACTTACTCCCAAAGGGCCATCACAACATCAAGCTTGTCATGAATCAATTTACTATCAAGTGGTGTATGTATGTATGGTAAGTGGGTGTGTGTGTGCATGAGTGTGTATATATGTATATTACACACACAAACAGATCCACACATGTATGCTTACGTACTTTCGCATGCACACACACATTATATTTGTATATATATATATATATATATATATATATATATATATATATATATATATATATATATATATATATATATATATATATATATATATATATATATATATATATATATATATTGTTGCTGACCCCGAGGGTCATAATAAAAGAGCCAGAAAATGTCTGCATGAAACTGAGCTTCACATTTCACTTTCTGAAGTACAAGGGCACAACAGGAATATACCAATTTAAAACAGGTGTGGCTTCTGTTGAGCTAACACTGAAATTTAATAAACAAATAAATATAACTGGAAAGATCAATAGAATGCCAAATATAAACTGACATACATGTTTTATACCATATGCTTTACTGAAAAAAAATAATAATAAGTATATCAAAAACTTAAAATACAAGTATCTATGCACTCACATTTAAAGGCAGAACAAGACTATAGAAGAACAAATTAGAATACTTCAAAAATGTCACAATAATTGAAAAGTCATAAGATGTCTGAACAAAAAAACAAAAACAGAAAACATCAGTTTAGGAAATGAATCAAGACAAGAAGAAAGAGAACAACAAACAATTCTCTATACATGTCAGTTCTATTCTACATACACATGTATATTGAAAAAAAAAAAAGAAAAAAAAAAGGTTGAAATAAATATGAAATAAATATGAAATATCAGGCTGAATATTTATCTCTGTTGGGTGAAAAAATGCCCAACTGTAAATCGGGCAATATTCCATGGTATGACAAGTGGTGTGGTTACTGGAGCAAGATTTTCAAGCTGATAGAAATAACTACTTGACTCAGGATAGTTAGTGTTGTTGAAATGGAGGAAGATGAGTTTGAGAGCCTCCTTAAGGATGCCTGTGAGATGCTCACAGAAACAAGTGACCAATGTTCTGAGTTCACAGAAACAACTCATCAATATTCTGAGTTCACAGAAACAAAATGATCAATATTCTGAGTTCACAGAAACAAAATGATCAATGTGCTGAGTTCACAGAAACAAGTCATCAATATTCTGAGTTCACAGAAACAACTGATCAATGTGCTCAGTTCACAGAAACAAAATGATCAATGTGCTCAGTTCACAGAAACAAGTCATCAATATTCTGAGTTCACAGAAACAACTGATCAATGTGCTCAGTTCACAGAAACAAAATGATCAATGTGCTCAGTTCACAGAAACAAGTCATCAATATTCTGAGTTCACAGAAACAAAATGATCAATGTTCTGAGTTCACAGAAACAACTGACCAATGTTCTGCCAGTCTGACACGTGTACAGATGTTATATGTTTGGTGGAAGCCATGACAGGGCACTGGCTAGATGTTTGCCTACCAGCAGAAACCTCTTCAAGGCAGATTTGTTTAAAATGACCTTGGCTCGCCAGTCAAGCATTTTAAAAAAAAATATTCCAGGAAAGTTAAAGTTGTCAATACCATGTTGACCACATCAATCATCAAATGCCAGACTGATCTATACAAACAGGGGGTCCAGCACCATATGCCAATGTTGTGAAATGGGTCTTTTACTGTACTAACATCTTTGGCAGATTGTCATATAAACTATTTTGTGGGATTTGCATCTTTCTTTTATAATATGAGAAAGAAGCAATATGTAGTGGCTAGATGCTTGCCTGCAGGCCTAAAGTTGTGGGTTAAAATCTGCATTGAGTGAATGTTTATTTTGGTTAAATTTTAATGGACCTTGGCTCCCAAGTTCACTTATCCTAAAAAGGTCACTAGGTAAAGTCATGGAAAGTAAAAGCAGCCATTGTGATGCTGACCACATCATCCACGGAGTGCTGACTGATCTATAAAATATACCCAATACGCCTAAGGACATGGAAAATGGTCCTTTTCATAATAAGAGACACTCTCTGGGAAGTCAGCTGAAGGGATGTGAATAACAAACCCCAATATTTTGCATTCAGAGTCGGAGCATTTGAAAAATTGTAGGAAATCTTACCTTTGCCCTCTCAATTTTATCTGCTACTGCCGACTTCTCCCCGGAGGTATCAGAACACAAGCTGAGTTTTTCAACAGCTGTCTGTAGCCAGGAAGAGAAGCTGTGGCAGCTGTCATGGAAGTTTTGATGATGAGCTACAATTTGTTCAGTACGAGCCAACAAATCCTGCGAGAGATGTAGAAAACATTTACGCTGAATCTTTTGATAATATAATTATTGTATACCCACATGTTTTTAAAGATCCAGGCCACTTAATGCTAGATAATCTTAGTCCATCTGAATCTATAACCCTTATTCTATCTTACATTTTTGTTAACATATGTTGTGATCTTTGTCAGACTTCTCTTATCTCAGTCTCTTTCTCTGTGTATTTGTCCACATTTCTGTCAATGTCTCACATGCTATTGTTTTTCTTTTTTTCTTTTCATAATATGCACCTATATTCTGATATGTTATAAGTTGTCTTTGTGTCTCAGCCTCTTCAAAACTACATTTCTCATCTTGGCTATTCAAGTTACTTTCAAGCGTTCTGCTGTAAAATGTACTGAGTTCACAGAAATAATTTACAAATGTTTCGCATTGAAAGAAACAACTGAGGCTCTCACTGTAGCTTTCCACTGGCTAGAGAACAGGATACACTCACACTGTGATTGTAAGTGCTGAGGGAGGTGAGGACAGGCATGCTTCGTGCAGAGTGGCATGCTTCACTTCAGAGGTCACGATGGATCTTTGCTCCAGCATTTGATGGTATGTTGGAAAATCAACAAGCAGACAGATTGGCTTGCTCTGCACAACTTGGTAGAATAATGATGCATATTAAGACAGATGTGGTTAAAGCCTTATGGGAACATGTCTACAATGTGGGACAGCAAATTATTACAGTCTGGTGACAGTGATGCAGCGAGGAGTAACAAGAAGATCTGGCTGATACTCAATGCTCAGAGGAACGGTAAGACGGACATATAATCAGACCGCTACTGGCACCACTGGTAATGGAACTCTGTGCTAGCTGCTGAAGATGGAGATGGAGCACTTATTCTTCTTCTGTTCTTTGTACAAGTAGTTACCTTAGTGAAGTGTTGCTGACAAATGTTAGGATCTTCTGTGTGCTCTATCTTTATTTTAACTGTGAAGCTTCAGAAGGCAACCATTGTTATATAATGGTGAACTACATGAATATGGATAATAATGGTGAATATGTGTACCTTTGCCTGCTCCTTCACACTTGTGTATCTGGTCTGAATCTGAGACGTATCAAGAACTGTGTGACTTCCTGGATTCCTTTCAGCTAAATCTGCAGCCTTAGATGTTACAGACTCTACCATTTGTTCATAAGACACAATGTCCTGGTATATTATCTGGGGGGAAATAGTATATATTTATATATTTATGTGAATCATACACAACTGTTCAGTTAGTGAAAAATTAAGGGCAATTAGTAAACAGTGGTACAGTTTGAGAGAGACCAACAGAGAAGATGCTGGCCAGTCTGACATCACAGGAAGAAAGAGCATCTGTATCAGAGGTGACTAAATGTACATAAGACAGAAGATTGTGGGAGACATAATTACCAACACCAGACAGAATGGAACTATAAGAAGAATATCTGAAATTATGTGTTAAAAAATATCTAGATTTAATTGCATTTTTCAAATCCAGGAAACCAGTAATGCTCAAATATACTTGTGGGAATTTCCTGAGTGCCATTTCCAGGAGGATAACTCCAAGTTTAAATAATTTCATTATCATTTTAGCATTCATATTCATTTTAACATCCTAATTTTATGGATTAAAAACTCTTCGTTGTAGCATTAGTTTCTTTAAGCATCTTCAATTTTTAGAGTCTCCAACTGTAAAAAAAAATGTAATCAGGCATATCATATTCGTTCCAAGGAATGATCACAAGTTAGATCAATCATATTTAATATATATATTTTGTTTACATGATAAATGATAAAACCCATTCCACTGACCTTGACCCGCTGAAGTTCAGCCTTCTTCTCACTAAGGTCAAACTTTGGCTGTGTGTCCCTGATTTGTTTCTCCACGACTTTCAGCCACCCGAGGATTTGCTCATAAGAAGCATCATAGTCACTCCACTGGAGAAGGCTTGATTCTAGCATCACTTTGCTATCTATTGCCTGTGTTGTGAGAAATGCATTCGAATAAAATAATTCCTTCATTCTGTAATATAGTATGCTCTTATTAATTAAATTTTGTTGACAAAGTTCAAAACTATTTACACTATTTGTAGCCAGAATCAGAACAAGACATGAAATACCTGTGAAATCATGAGATCCCACTCAGCCTGTAGCTGATCTAGTTCAGTTCTAATCACCTCCCGGCCCTGAACAGAAGTGTTTGTCATAGTCTTCTCTCCCCAGCTGACAGCTGTTTGCATGCACATTTCACCTTCTTTCTTGCTGACATCAAATTCCTGTCAATGAGAACAATGTAACTGTGTCCTCACTTAAAATCAATGTTTGTGATCATTGCATGAGGTATAAAACAAATGAGGTTAGGGTACTAGAAAACACTACAATGGTTTTTCTGTGAGTCATATATGCTTACATTCTTAAAGTCATAAAATGAATAAACAAAATATATAAAGTCGCAATGTGAATGATTGGAACTTATTTTACATGAAATCATTTTAGTAATCATTAAACACAAGTTTAAAACTATGTGTACCTATGCTTACATAAAACATTTAAAACACATCACACATCATCAGATAGTCAGATATTTATGGATATATACAAAAACGTTAACTTTGATACAGGAAAGGGACAAGGCAAATTCCTCTGTATGCTTGCACGCTCTCAAATTTACTTCAAATTCTTCAGCAATAATAACAATTCTTCCTCCACCACACTGACTTTAAACATAATGCCATTATCCTCTCCCCACAAGTACACATGTCTCCTCCCATTAACCCCTCGTCACACCTCTTACCACATACTTTTGTGCCATCTCACTGTGTGAGAACATATATTACTTGACAGACAGTAGTTTGCTACGGCAGTGTGGGGTAGGACAAGTGTATAATGTATGCATGGATATTACTATCTTTACTGTATAATGTATGTATGAATATTTCATGTCATATATTTCATGTCCCTAATGACAGTGATTACTGTGACTTTGAATCTGAGTTTCTTTGTTAGTACATAACATAGACAATGTGCAGGAAACATAGTTATGTCATATATTTCATGTGTGCAGTTTCATGTCCCTAATGACAGTGATTACTGTGACTTTGAATCTGAGTTTCTTTGTTAGTACATAACATAGACAATGTGCAGGAAACATAGTTATGTCATATATTTCATGTGTGCAGTTTCATGTCCCTAATGACAGTGATTACTGTGACTTTGAATCTGAGTTTCTTTGTTAGTACATAACATAGACAATGTGCAGGAAACATAGTTATGGCCGCTTACCTTGATTTTCTCAAGCTGTGACAGAAGAACATGTCTGTCACCAGTGCTGCTTGCATGTACAGAAAGTACCTCTTTGCTTGTGTGCAACCAGGAACAGGATTTATTGTAGGCAATATTGTAGTGCTCATGGTCCTGCACTATCTGTTCATATTTCTTCATAAGATCCTATCAAACATGGAGAATATATGAGGTAAATCCAGGAGGATCCATTTCATTTGCAAAGAATGTGATATTCACCCACATTTGTATCCAAAGGACTATTTCAGACAGTACTATACTCATACTATGGCTAAGCTGCATTGAAATTATTCCAACTATAATCTGTATATAACCAAAAAGTCAATACTTCTGTGTGTATAGTACTAAAGGTCCAATTTTCTGCCATTTTGTTTTCTTTGAAATTTTGTTCAGCATCTATGAGAACATAGAGCCTCTGAGTGAGAAACTAAACCAGAAACGACTCATAACTTTTGAATTTGTTAGGAAACTGAATAAATTGCTATTCTCAAATGTGAATATTCACTGTTCTTGTGGCTGCAAATCCATTGGTAAGTGAAGATTTTTTGGGTAAAATGTTGTATTTGTAAACATAACACCTGCTAAATTCTTTTTTTCTTACTAAATAAAACAGCATTAAACAAAAATATATCACTAGATTCCAAATGTATATTCATTCCTCTTTTAAAGAAATATGTATTTTTGTAGGGATTAGAAACATATTACATTCTCAACTGTCTTTTAATACCACCCCTCTTCCACTTTGGTAAAATAAAATTATTGTGAGCCAGGTCTGTCAAAATTCATGGGCCTAAAAGAGTCAATCGCTATCCGTGGGAATATTATGTAGTGAGGACCCAATCTTTTCAATGGTACTTAAGGATGTGAAACATGTTGACTAACCTCTAAGCTACAAAGCACTGATAACTATTGATCATTATTTAATCAGTTTCTAGCTTTGTTTGCTTAAGAAGGAATTTTATTTCTATAAGATAACAGTCCTTCATTTCCTTAAAGATTCATAAAAAGCTAGGGTATCTGAAAACACAACATTGATGGGACTGAGTCATGGGCTATCTTGCAGTCGTGGAATGTCCTGAGAAGTAAAGGTGGATGATACTGATAATGACCCCATCACTTAACGAGTGTCTGTTGGTTGAAACAATTCATGATTTAACCATATGTGCCCATTATACCTTAAAACATGAAAAACACCTCTTCTTCTAGAGACGTTTAAATTTTTCTATAAAATGCTTGATTATTTCTTTATCATGCATATAAGCCTGTAGGAAACATGAACTAAATATAAGAAACTAGCTGTACCCGGCCACGCATTGCTGTGGCCCAGAATGGTGAAATAGAGAGGAAAGAAAATAGCTCTCAGCTAACAGTGTCTGTCATATCCTATCCCTCCCCTCGACCCAGTCATATCTCCCTCTCCAAAGGATTGACAAATCATCCATGGCGAAATTATAAAAAAAAAATAGAAGTAGTTAAGAAATTAGAACTCTAAAATAATTTTTCAAGCTCTCTCTGCTAACTGTGTCTGGCATAAACACCCCCCCCCCCTCCTCCCAATCATATCCTCCTCTCCGAAGGATGGGAAAGTCACAGTATAACAAAATAGTGTAACTTAATTGAGCTAGGCATCCGTGTCCACCCAGACATAAATAGGTAGCGTTACCTTGTACAGAGAAGTAAATGTAGCCAGTGTAACAGCTACCACATCACCTATCCAGTACCAGTACTACTGCAACCACTACCCCCACCACCATCACAACATCAACAACAACAACAAAAACTGTCACTACAGTCTGTGTAGGTTAGTGTAGAAAAGAGAAGGGAAAAAAAAACAATTATCACCTAGTAGGGAATCGAACACCAGTCACCTGCGTGAAGGATGGAATACTTAAAACTAGACTACCGAAGACTGAAGAGTTTAGGTCAGATATCACAGCCTAGCCATAAACCACAACACACCATAAGCCACAACAGAACGTGCCAGCCGCCCAGTTAGGGACACATACAAAAATTATATCACCTAGCAGGTAATCAAACGCGGGTCACCAGTATGATAAGCAGAATAGTTACCAACTACGCTACCAAACACTCGAACAAATAGTGGAAATGAGATTATATAATAATGCAAAGTTCAATAAGAGCTCGGCAGCCAAAAATAGCCAATTACCTAAAAAGAAATCCAGGCCGGCAACGAAACAAGTAATGATTTGACTGCTGCTGGAGCTACGTCGTTCGTGGTTTGTGTGATTTTCTGACAAAAAATCATGCTTGGAGTCAAAGGCAACGTTGTGTGCAAATTTGAAAGCAATCGGTTCAGTAGTTTCCGACTTTAGGGAAAACAACATCGGAAAGTTAACATTTTTATTAATATAGAGATTTTTTAAAAAAAGGGAATCAGGAAGGAAATCAGTGAATAAACAGGTTGGATTAGAATTAGAAAGGACATCAGTTACACACATGATGCTGTCAAGTGTAATAATAAACAATAATATTTCAGTTTAATTAAGAATCTACAGTGTTTGAAATATTCCCTAAGCACTCCCTCCCCTGTCTTCAGCAGCAAGTGTAGAGTAACAATTCTGCTGATACCAGTAACAGTCTGATTGTATATCCATCTCATTCCCTTACCTGTTGATTGTTAAGCATGACTAATACGGTGAATCATTACCTTTGACAAAGTGACCAATGCTGAATATCTGGACATCAGCTGATTAAGTTGTGTTGATATCCTACGGTCTGTTGACAGTTGTAAGAGATCCTGTGCTTGTTTAACCAGCTGGTTAAAGGCTTCTTGCTGCTCTAGAATATCTTCATGGAGTGCCTAGTAAAGAATTTGAATACCAAAGATGCATATATTTGTAGTTGGTTCCAAATAAGCGGTTCACAATTTACATGTGTTATATGTGTATGTGTTGTCATTTGCACTGAGAAGAAGAGTTGGTTAATATGATTTGCTACAATTGAATCACTCTACTTTAACAATGCTAACTGTTTTGTCAGATACTACTGCCTACTCCAAGGTAGTGAAGGTTAAAGGTTAGAGGATTGACTTCACTACATTAGATTTTATCCTATATAGCTCAGTCTCTCTCTCCACAGAATGTTTAGCCGCCTGCTGAGAGCATCACAAAAAGAATGAACACCATAGTTGAAGCAGCAACCCCCAGGAATCTATGTAAAAATTGTACTTATTAAAGGAACAATGCTGTTGTGAAACGAACCCATGACCTTCAGAGCGCAAGGCACAGAGACCCTGCATGATCCAATGTTGTAAATAATTATTCAATTATAATATAAATACAGTTTGAGGCAACAGCCTACATTTCTAATATAGCATTTTCTAACTTTTGTGTGTCACTGGCTGTATGTAAGCTCTAGTGAAAGGTTCTGGTTGTTCGTCTAATATAGGACTTTAGTCTTGTTCCAGAACTTGAGTTTGGCATGCACATCCATTTGACAGATCTAGCTTATTTGTATAAAGGTGGTGGGTTCCTTACCTTTCAGGCTGATGTACCCCAGCTTGGACGGAAACACCTCTCATTTATTCTTTTTTATGACATGATTGTTGGAGGTGGGGGGGGGGGGGGGGCGTCAGTTCATTGTGTTTCACTCTAACATGGAGCCCTGGAACCCACAGTGGGAAATCATACCATTTACTGACCTCTAGTCATGAAGCCCCAGAACCCACAGTGGGAAATCATGCCATTTAATGACCTCCAGTCATGAAGCCCTGGAACCCACAGTGGAAAATCATACCATTTAATGACCTCTAGTCATGAAGCCCTGGAACCCACAGTGGGAAATCATGCTATTTACTGACCTCTAGTCATGAAGCCCTGGAACCCACAGTGGGAAATCATACTATTTACTGACCTCTAGTCATGAAGCCCTGGAACCCACAGTGGGAAATCATACCATTTAATGACCTCTAGTCATGAAGCCCTGGAACCCACAGTGGGAAATCATACCATTTAATGACCTCTAGTCATGAAGCCCTGGAACCCACAGTGGGAAATCATGCCATTTAATGACCTCCAGTCATGAAGCCCTGGAACCCACAGTGGGAAATCATGCCATTTAATGACCTCTAGTCATGAAGCCCTGGAACCCACAGTGGGAAATCATGCCATTTAATGACCTCTAGTCATGAAGCTCTGGAACCCACAGTGGGAAATCATGCCATTTAATGACCTCTAGTCATGAAGCCCGGGAACCCACAGTGGGAAATCATGCCATTTAATGACCTCTAGTCATGAAGCCCTGGAACCCACAGTGGGAAATCATGCCATTTAATAACCTCTAGTCATGAAGCCCTGGAACCCACAGTGGGAAATCATGCCATTTAATGACCTCTAGTCATGAAGCCCTGGAACCCACAGTGGGAAATCATGCTATTTAATGACCTCTAGTCATGAAGCCCTGGAACCCACAGTGGGAAATCATACTATTTAATGACCTCTAGTCATGAAGCCCTGGAACCCACAGTGGGAAATCATACCATTTAATGACCTCTAGTCATGAAGCCCTGAAACCCACAGTGGGAAGTCATACCATTTACTGACCTCTAGTCATGAAGCCCCGGAACCCACAGTGGGAAATCATGCCATTTAATGACCTCTAGTCATGAAGCCCTGGAACCCACAGTGGGAAATCATGCCATTTACTAATCTTTAGTCTGCACAAAGACAAGTTAATTAATGTTTGTAGAAGAGCTGTACCAAACATTCACTTCATATGAGCTTCGGGGCCGAATAGTGGACCTAATAACTATTCTGTATTCAGCCAAATGCTTGCGGTAGGGCCGAATACAAATAGTGGTTACCTCACACCGGCTTCTGCATATACGGCCTTAATGCTGGCAACATGGACCGATTGGTTTGTTGAAAGCTAATGTAGCTTTCATACATTAAATAAACTGTCAGTGACAATTTACAAGTTTAATTACTAGTTATAATACTTTCATTACTAGTTATTAGTTACCACAGACTGACTGAAGGATGCAATACAAAATATTTTTTAAATATTTACTATCCTGTACGAATGCTAACAAGACAGGGAAAGAATATAAACTCTGGCCACATACAAGTCAATAATATGAAAATCAATTGAACCGAAACATATAAGTACTTAGGTGCAAACTTCAACTGCTCCAACATGCTGAGAGAAAAAATACAATCTAAAATACAATTTGGAAATAATGTATACTATGCTCTTCAACCTCTGCTAAAGTCAAAGTGTCTTTCTTGCAACACTAAGATCAAAATATATCAAATGTTGACAAGACCAGTCGTTTTATACGACTCTGAAACTTTGAGCACAACTAAAGGAGATGAAGCCTTATTACAGGTTTTCAAAAAACAGAGTCTTTAGATGAATCTTTGAACCCATTAAAGATGCAAACAGCGGGGAATGGAGAGTGAGAAGCAACAACAAAATTCATAATCTGTTCAAATAATTACTGATCAGTGGCATCATGAGAGATAATAGACTGAAATGGTTAGTGCATATTGAGAGAATGTCAGATGACAGAGAAGTAAAAACTGTATACACAAGGGAGAGGAGTGGTTGTAAAAAATGAGGCAGACCAAGCAGACGATGGAGAGATACGTCCAGACAGACCTGCAAACACTTGGTATCACCAACAGGAAAGAGAAGGCCAACCAGAGAGATGAATCGAGGCGGGTGATATCTGCAGCAGTGAACCTCAAGGGATCGGAATGCTGAAGAAGAAGAAGAAGAAAACTAGGTTTGTGTGTATGATAAGGAAAGGTAAAAAAGAACAATAATTGATTCTAAAATCTTAACAATGATGAACAAGCAAACAATTTGGAAAACTGTATTCACTCTTTGCACCAGGCCACCCAGAATGTAAAAGGATGAGCTGAGCAAAGTATGTGGGCAATAATTATAACGTCTGGTCTTGTAAGTTTTAAACAACTCAAAAAAAATGCAGTTATTGTGGTTTACTAAGCTGCTATGTTCATGTCTGATAACAATATGGCTGCTTAGTTTGCATTCATCATGTTCATCAAAATGTCTTAGAAGCCTCAAATTTAGATAAAACAGTAGATTTGTCAGAATTATGTGGATATTTGAACAAAATAAGATTGTATGCTTCTCTCTGTCATTTGTAAAGTCAAATAATGATATAGGACTGAACTAAAATGTACTCTGTACAAGGGAAACAATAATGACTAGGGTAAGCTGCCACTGGGGAGAGAAATATTAATGAATTGAAGTTTTTTCCAGCATCACTTAATTAAGTCACACATCCTTTATTTATGAAAACAGCTGCAACATTCTGAACACTAAGATGTTAAAATTAAGTTATTTTTTGGTGAAAGAATAATTGTTTTGGAAAGTAACTTTGTGTGCCCAGTGTGGGTACTACAGAATATTGATCTGAAAATTTCTCTAAAACACAAAAGAGTTACCTTCACTAATCACGTTGTGGGATGCAATTGTCTGTTATTTTGAAGCCCCCACCCTGGCTTCTGCCAGGGGCCCTGAATATAGTTGGGGCATAAATATGGCCTACCGGCTGAAAGGGATTTCTGGGACCTCTCCATGGGTGATTCTCATCTGCATAATGGCACTTTGTGTGTGGTGTCCTGGTGGGGTTGAACAATACCAACCAAAACAACAGTCATATCAATTAATCCTGGTCCCCATGTGGGACAAGTTTTTCATTATTTTGAAGCCCCACCATAGTTGTTGCCAGGGGCCCTAAAATAACCTAACGGTTGAATGGGGTTTCTGGGACCTCTCATTGGGTGATCTTCATCCAAATGGTGACACTTTGTGTCACCAGGTGTTTATCACCCAATGTGATGTCCTAGTGGGGTAAAAAGTCAGTCAAAAAACTGCTACATAGACTAACCTTCAAATTATATTTACCTATCGGGTTGATCTTTATTTGTGATTTGCTTTATATATTTGTTATAAAGCTTCCCCTAAGCACACTGAAGCTAAGAGGCACCAACAAAATGTGTAATGTTTACTTTTATTACAGGCACTATGAAATATCCACCCTTCCCTTTATATTTAAAAAAAAAGGCATTTATAGATCCTGACTAATAAAATTCTTTCATATAAATAAATCTACTCACTCTGTGACTGCTAAGCTGATCTTTCTTATGATCAAGAGATGTTTTCAGTTCACTATTAGTCTTCACTGTATTCTCTGTGTCTTTGATCCAGTGACTCAGTTGTTCATAGAATTCTTCGTAACTGGTCCACTTGTTCTTTAGAGTTGCTGCATCAAAATATCACAAATATGTTCATTATTTTAAAGTAAATGTTATACCTGACACTACTGTCTTTGGTTCAGCAATGTAGATCTGATCCCTGTTGAAGATTTATTCTTTTTCTGTCTTTGCTTCCTTTTGGGAATAGGAGGGTTCTCATTTTGCTCATCTGAGCTAATGAGGATACAAGGGTTCAGAAATGTAGATCTAATCCCTGTTGAAGAATTCTTTTTGTTACCTCTTTTCCTATTTGGAATGCGAGGGACAAGGCAACGTCTTGTGTGGTCAATGACTTTATCATTTGATGTGGGACAGTTTGGCGAAATAGTATATAACTCTCCATGGAAAGAGAGTCCCAGAACTTTCTACCAGGGTGTCAGTATGGGTGTTGTTAATTCCCTCAACAGCCCTAATAGTTGTCTCAACATTCCCTGTGTTCAGCTGCAGTTCTCTCTTCATTTCTGCCAGCCTGAGTAGCTGATAGTTATGCACATTTTCTTGGAAAAGTCTCATTCTTTCAACTGCCTCCTCTTGGAGTTGCCACTGTCTAGCTTCTTCTTCTTCTTTAAGTTGCCACGTTCTCTCTTCTTCTTCTTCCCTCTCCGCTACATGACGGGCAAGCATCGAGTCCCAATCTTTCTTTTCACATTGTACAAATGTTGTTAACTTTTCCCTCTATAGCCCCTTTGTGCACCACAAATCCTTGCGTTTTCTAAGAACTTGGACCAACAGTCCATAATTTCTTGATAGCTCATTTACCAGGCAAGGATTAACAAGCAGGACTAACCAGAAAAGTGTTGAGTTAAAGGGTAGAACAGCAACAAGGAAAATTGACCGCAGCAGTAAAGTGAACATTAGTAAAAAATAATGTATTTGTGTATGGTGTCAGTCTAGTGCTGTCTATCTATATACCTTTGCCAGGAAGGATGATTTAAACCAGTAACCCCCATCATAGTGAGTAAGAAAGAAACCTATTTCACGACAGGTTGCAGACTAGTATACAAGCCTGAACAGCCTTGAGAAATGAGGAAGGGCAGATTGTAAAATAGGCCTGCATGCAGTTCGGAACATTTTGAAAGCAAAATCTTGTTGTTCATTTGCTGGATTTCTGATGACTGTGCTGTGGTATACCCTTTGTGAGAAAGGACCACACACAGATGACCTATACCAGCAATATCTCATTAGCTTCTTTGCAGCTGCCTACTATTTCTTTATGTATATTCTTAGAGATCTTGATTTTTCTTAAATGTTTGTATCCACTATCTGCTGAAGTTATTTGACATTTATAATTTTTTTGGGGGAAAGGAGCTAAATTATTGAAAGCAGCAATGCTATTTTCGTTTCATATTGGTTCTCACAACAGATCCCATTGCTCACCAACAAGCTGTATTAGCTCCATGACATTATATCTGTTCTGGACAACAACAATGTATTGTTCCATACAGTAAAGAATTAACTGTGTATCTTTTTCCATCTTGTTCTGGTGGTCTACCCCATGCTCTACGTCCTTCTTCTCTTCCCATGTATGCTTTGTATGGTATGGTGTCACAAGGCATTCTCTCTAAGTGGGCAAACCATTTCACTTGCTGTCTTTGTATGTAATCCAGAATTTGTTCTGTGTGCCGACTTGTTCTCTTATGATCTCATTTCTGATCTTTATCTCTTATGGTCACTCCTACAGCCCTTCTCAGACATCTCATTTTCCGTGGTTGCTAATTTTCTTTTATGGTTTGTTGTGAGTGACCATGTCTGGCACTGGTAGCACAGAGTTGGAATAAATATGCTTTGAATAAGATGTCTCTTTGTGCTGATTGGGATTGTCTTATGCTGTAAGAGGGGGGCTAGCTGTCCCAATACTTGGTTTGCTTTACTGCATCTAATGTCAATTTTCTTTATCCAATTTCCCATCTTCTGTAAATGTAGTTCCCAGATATTTAAACTCAGATGCCTGTTTAATGCCTTTGTATTCTATTGTTATGTTTTAGATCTGTCTTCTTTTTTCCTATTGACATTACTTCTGTCTTTTCAGTGTTGATTCTCATATTATTTGTTTTACATTCTTCATTCATGGATGTTAGATGTTGTTGCAATTTCATGGCTGTATCTGCTATCAAGGCCTGGTCATCTGCAAAGAGTAATTCGTTGATCTTACTAAGATCTTCATTCATGGGCTTGGCATTCTTGCATATACTGTCGATGTAGGTGATAAACAGCAGTGGTGATAAGACACACCCCTGTCTTACTCCAGATGTCACTGTGAAAGGATGAGACGTTCCCTGATTTATTCTAACTACACTTCTACAATCCCTGTATAAACTTTTGCACACTTCGATGAGGTGTTCGCTTACTCAATATCTTGCCATTATTTTCCATAATAATTGTCTGTCGACTCTGTCAAATGCCTTCTCCTGGTCTACGAAAGCCACAAATAAGTTCTTATTGTATTCAATGTTCTTTTCTATTAACTGTTTAAGTGTGAAGATTGCATCTGTGCAGCTTCTATTTCTCCTAAATCCCATCTGTTCTTCTGCCAGCTGTGGTTCTATCACTGGTCTCAGTCTTGTTTCTATTATCTTGGCATACATTTTGCCAACATGGCTTAAAAGAGAGATGCCTCGATATTGACCGCATTCTCGTTTGCTTCCGTTGTTCTTCCACAATGGTATAACTATTGCATGTTGCCAATTAATAGGGGCCGTTTGTTGTACCCATGCTGCATTGAATATTCTGTGAAGCCATCTGATGCTGCTTTCACCTGCTGCTTGAATTATTTCTGTTGGTAATCTATCAGCTCCTGGTGCTTTATATTTGGGAGACTGTTTAATGACTTTTTTCTATTTCATCCATTAGTATGTGTGGTTCTAACACTGTTGCTCTGTGCTCTTCAGTTGTTCTTTCCTGCTGATCTCCTAGAGGATTAAAGAGCTCATTGAAGTATTCCCTCCATCTTTCTGCAATCTCGGGTGGATCTATCAATGGCCTTCCTGTCTTATCATTAATTATTTCAGTGGGGTTGTAGCTCTCATCTCTTTTCCGCATATTTTTAACCACTTTGAAAAAATTTCTGCTGGCTGTTTTCTCATTTTCTGCTAGTGACTCACCGAAACGTTCCCAGGATGCTTGTTTTGCTTTCTTGACACTCCTGTTGGTTTCTCTCCTTTGCAGTCTATAGTTTATATAATCTTCTTCTTTCTTTGATTTTATCCACTGTTTATATAAGTCTTTTTTCTTTTTAATTGCTTCTTTTACTTCCTCGCACCACCAAGGTGAATATTTGTTATTTCCCCGTCTGTTTCCACTCTTCTGTTTTCCACATAATTCTTCTGCAATACTAAGCGTAGTGTTTTTATATATACTCCATTCTTCCTCAATATTGCCAACTACATGTGGAAGTTGTTTGAATGCGGTCTCTACTTTCTGTTGTAACTGTTCTTTTACTCCTTCCTGTTTCAGATTTGCTATCTTGATGAGATCCTTGTTTTTGTTTAATTTCTTTCTGTGTTTCTTTAATGTAAGATGTTTTGCTGTTAACACAACTATTTTATGGTCAGTGTCACATAGACCATTAGGGATTGCTCTTGAATCAAGAATTCTCCTTCTTCCTTGAACTCTGGTAAGTATAAAGTCAATCTGGCTCTTGATGGAGATATCATTCCATTTGTACCAAGTGTAAAGTTGTGAATCTCTATGGTCAAAAAATGTGTTCGTAATAAAAAGATTGTGCTGGCTGCATAGATCCAATATTCTTTGACCATTTCCATTTCTAGCACTGTTCTTAGCTGCATATGGACCTAAAAATTGTTCGTATTCTCTTCTGTTATTTCCTACCCTCCCGTTGAAGTCACCCATTACATATAGTATGCTGTTTCCCTCAACGTTCTTTATCTCATCAGACAGATCGTCAAAGAATTCATCTTTCTGCTCTTCTGTATAATTATCATTGCATGGTGCATATATCTGTATATATGTTTCAGCTTGTTCTCCTCTTTTAATTTTCAAAGTAATAATTCTATCTGAGTGATAATGTATGTCTAATATGTAGTCAGATATGTCTGGATGTACCAGGAAACCCACTCCATTCTTCGATGTTTCTCCTCCTGCATATGTTAGTAAGTAGCCTCTGTGTATTTTCTTATTAATATTTCCCTTTTTCCATCATTTCAATAATCTCTTCTGTTTTATTTCCCAGGCCAGCGGTGTTAAGTGTTGCAATCTTGTATTTCGCTGTTCTGTCTCGTAGTCCCTTAACATTGCCATGGTCAGATACCGTTTGATCAGTCCGTTTATATCTCATTTTGATTTTTGTAGCGGTAAAAAAATCCATTGCCGGCTTGCTAGGCCTGTCGCAACTTCACCAGAGCCCCGTTGGCCAGGACGTTTCGGGAAAACATCGGTCTTTACCCTGGAATTACACAGGGTGACTGCAATACTTCAAGGCACAGATGCCAACACACAATATAAAACAAAGATATATTTCAGCAGGCTGCTGACAGACAGGACTGTTCCAATGTCCACTAACAATACAAGCATTTGATGATTTCTGACCAAAGGCAGAGACAGGAAAAGACTGAATTTAAAAAAAAAAAAAAAATGTTTCAATTGGCTGTATATTATATGCAGAACAAGTCAATATCTACTTAACCCTTTCGCTGCTATAGACTATTTTCCCATTTTTCGAAAGTGGTGCTGTCATCAACTCAGAAAAGGCAGCTGTTTTGTGGTGTTCTCTGGACAATAGAATTGTAAAAGCTGGAGTTCCAAACCTCACAGTTCATAACAGTAACATCAAACGAGAAAGCAAACTGAGATACCTGGGTATCATTTTTGATAGAAGCCTGTCCTTCAGGGATCATGTGGATGCAGTTGCAGTGAAATGCCAAAAAAAGACTCAATGCTCTCAAGATTATGGCAGCAATGGACACGGAACAAAGAATGTTCCAGCATGTGATCCTGTCAGTGACAGATTATGGACTTGCAATCAATATCAAAGATGAAACTTGAACAAATATAGAATGAAGCCATGCAGGTGATTCTGGGATGCACAAGAGATACCCCTGTAGTATGTATGCGATATATACTTGCACTGCCTACTATTGCAGATAGGCTCAAAGTTCTGCAGGCAAAGTCATATCTCAGAGTAGCTGCGGACAAGAGCCACCTCCTTCATGAAGCCCTGGATAGAGCTAAGGGTCACAGACTGAAAAGAGGAAGTCTAGGATGGGGCTAGCTGAAGACACAATTGGACATGTGTGCAGGTTTGATAAATTTAGGCGAGGAGAGGAGTGGGTCAAAGTGCCTGATCAGGTTTCAGACTTGTGTAGGGTTCTAATCACTTTGGGTCGTGAGTGCAGGAACTGGCCAGCTCGTGCTGTAGAATCAGAAGTTCAACAAATGATTCATGACAATTACCGCCCGAGTGATGTGTTGTATATATAGATTGCTCTGTGGTGAGAGGCAGACGAAGTGCATGAAGGGTTCATAGCGAAGGCGAATGGACGTCGCTTGGCGCAACAAAGCCTGGCATATGATATCACATCTAGTTTGAGAATGGAGGTGGAGGCAGTCACTGCTGCCTTCCGCTGGTTTGAGAATCAGCTGTATACACACATGTCGTCATTGTAACTGACTCACAGTGCATGCTGAGAAAGGTGGAGACAGGCATGCTCCGTGCAGAGTGGCAAGCGTCACTTCAGAGGTCCCAGGTAATTAGCATCCTTTGAATATTTTCTCCAGGTCATGCTGGTGTGTTGGGAAATCAGCAGGTGGATAGACTGGCCAGTTCTGCACCACTTGGTAGTGAAATGATATATGACAAGCTGGATGTTGTGAGGGCCCTGTGGGAGTGAATGAACAGTGCCGAGGAACAGATAGATCATTACGGTCTGAGGAGAATGGCACTGCGAGGAGTTACAAGGGGATCAACGCTGGACACTCGGGGGAGGGGCGAGATGGATTTACAATTAGACTGTTACTGGTACCATTGATCTTTTAACTCTTTGCTTGTTGCTGAAGATGGGGACGTGGCACTTATGGGAGTGTCCCGAGTGCTGTGATGTCAATTCTTGATTCAACATTCATTCCATAGAAGAAAAACAATGCACTGGTCAGTCCTTCACACAGTACAATACAGGTCTTATTTAATGCTTGTTATGATCGTGATAGTCTAGAGTAGTTAGTATGATGTCCTTCTTACAATTGGAAGGTCTTGCGTTCAACCCCCCACTGGATTTTTAAAATTGTAAAAATTTTTTTTTAGTTCTTGCCACTTTTTGGCAACGGATGACTCAAGTATTCTTTTTTTGTGTGTATGTTATAACACAGGGACTACAATTAATTACGATTAAAGTGGCAACCGCAGTAGATTCATAAATCAAATTTTTGGGTAGGGACTGGGAACAGTTCTTTCCATTAATCCTCACTCCCCCCCCCCCCCCCCCCCCCCCCCCCCCCCAAACCCTGGTAGCTTCATTGGTTAGGTTTGTGGGATGAAAGGTTGAGGCGTTTGTGAAACTCCTCTGTGGAGCTTCTACTACAAATACAGCAGCAGTGGAGACAATGATAAAAAGGATACATTTTCTTTCACTATCCTTAGTGAAACCGGACAATTAAATATAGTCTCTATTGGTTACTTTCTGAAAAGACAAAGTTTCTTGGCATCGCCATCGTGCGTCTGCCTTGTCAACACTCGAGCCAATGACACACCTCCCTAGGGTGAATATTTTTAGGTGTACAAAATATAGCCCTCACCATCAACACATCTTTTGCGTTTGGAGGATAGAAAAGTACTGTGCACAGGAGATACTGTTTTATTTCACTTGCTTAGCCCAGGGCAGGCAACTACACCAGGGATTGTAGCAGTGAAAGGGTTAAATCTCCTCAGGTTTAAAAAAACAAAACATATTTAGACATGTGTGGTCTCACATTATCAATGGTGATGTGACTGGACATAAGAGAGATGACGGCTCATTCTTAAAGATCCAATGAATATTTGAAGATGAAAATGAGCAGTGTGCTAAGAGCGGTGTAAGTAAAAAACAGTGACTCACCCAGGCTACTTTCAATATCTCTGAGGTCTGACTCAAAATCATTAAAGTCACAGGAAAGCAACCTCAGCTCTTCTTTGATCAGGTTTTGACCCTGAAGTGATGTTTCCTCAAGAACAATGCTTCCCTTCTGCAAAGTTTCTTGCAACTGTTTCTGACCCATTTCCACAGTCAAGGCAATATCCTATCAGAGATCAAACATGAACATCAAATCAAATCACAATTTAAAATACACTTTTCTCATGTCATTAACTGAGTGCATGTATCCAGTAAAGGCAAGAAACCTTGGGGGGAAACAATTGTGCCATCAAAAAAAAACCAAAAGACATGGGTTGCTGTCCTCTGGAATTGTGCTTTTGCACGATAATGCTGGACCTGACTTCACAGATAGAACTGTTCAACAGTTGCAAAAATGTCACTGGGAAATTGTTGACCACCCCGCCCTACAGCCCCTGATCTGGCACCAAGTGATTACCAACTTTTCATGCTCCTAAAGAAGTGGCTGGCAACCCAGCGGTTTGAATCTGATGATGAACTGCAGACAGACGCTAATAAATGGTTCAAAACACTGGTGGCAGACATCTATGACATTGGAATTAGGAACCTGGTGCCATGATACCAAAAATGTGTCGAAGACAAGGTGACTATGTTGAGAAATAATATAGATGAGTGGTTTACTTTTTATAATTATGTTTTTTTTATTTTTTATTTTATTTTATAACTGGACTTACTTGAAAAACCTGCATTGTAATAAAACTCAAAGAAATAATAGGTTCAATGTCTAGAGCTTGAGATCCTTTAATTTACAAACATTAAAAAAAGAAGAGGAAGAGAGAGAGAGGGAGGGAGGGAGAGAGGGAGGGAGAGAGAGAGAGAGAGAGAGAGAGAGAGAGAGAGAGAGAGAGAGAGAGAGAGAGAGAGAGAGAGAGAGAGAGAGAGAGAGAGAGAGAGAGAGAGAGAGAGAGAGAGAGAGAGAGAGAGAGAGAGAGAGGTGGTTGGGGGTGAGACATAAAATACCTTGACTTTATGCAGCTGAGCTTCAATGGCGAGTCTGTCTCCTCTTATATTACTGCACATGTCTCGCCTGTTAACTGCTAACCCAAGCCACTCTGAAGTACTCAAGTATGTGTTTCTATAGATCTGGTGATCCAGCAAGTTCTTTTCACAGTCTTCCCTCATGTCCTTCAAATATGAGAATGCAGAAACTATTAATTAATGGCAATATTTTTTAAATGGTGGAGTGATCAGACATTCAGAATGTTAATAACCTAGAAAATTATAAACTTGAAACATATAAAACAGATTAAGTTAGTAATGTTTAAAGACAGACCAACGAGCTGCTGCAAATGCTCTCATCATGTTGCAAGGCTTTTCAGGATATCAGTTTCATCATGAGTTATCAGAAGGACTCAATCTTTTGCTAGATTTCCTTCCTTTTGCATTTTAAAACTGATGTGTTC